AGCAAGATATATGTTCCTAATATGCATAGAGTAACACTAAAAATTGGAAATAGCATGCATAGCCATTACATACACGCATTTCATGTTCCATTAAGGATAATACTAATGTGACAAATCTTGCCACTTAAAAGTAAATGATATTGGCTTTGCAGGGTATTTTTATTTTTTTATACTTTAATTTACTTTTGTTTTTCATTTTCATACGTATTATATTAAAGGGCAACAATCTAATGCAATGATTGTATTATAGTATAATGCAACCACACTTCTAGAAAACCATGTTTGTGGTATTTATATGATCCAAAATTTTGCACACACACACTTTTCATCTCAATAATTAATTCCAAAAAAAAAAAAAATCAATTTGAACCGTAAATATGGTCAAAATGAGTCTCATCCAACAACAAATCTATAGACCAATCATTTGGTGAATTTCAAGATCTTAACTTTTATAAACTCAAAATGATTTTTTTCTTTTTTAACATTGTTCATCTAATAATAATAAAGTCATCTAAAAAAATTAGAAAAGAAAAAATCCTTCCAAGGCCTAGATTTAAGCATCTTATCAAAATGGATAGCCTATGTTCATTGGGCGAAAAAAATACTTTCTAGATTATGTTTTCAAATTTTCCTTTTTCGTGTTGTTTAGTAGAATGAAAAGACTGCATATTTTAAAATTTGGATCAAATAAATGGCCCTAACATTGTTTTTTAAAGTTTTTGCATTATATTACTGTACAACTATTACAGGAAATCACCGCCCTATATTAAAATATAAAGAAAATTTCATATAGAACCTTAATTTTTCATGACAGACCTTCTTTCTATTTTTCTTTCAAGCGGCATAAGAAAACCCCTAAATATTTTATCATACGCCTCATCTCTCATCTCTCTCTTTTATTGACTTTTGATCATAAAAATTAACCCCATAAAATCTTTTTATATCATTTCAAGCTAAAAACTTTTTTAATAGTTGGAAATGGGAAAAGATGGTTAAAAAAGTTTTTGAGTTGAAATGGTATAAAAAGATTTGTTGTTGCTCATTTT